ATCCATTGGACATTAATGTTCACACATTTTTAATACAAACATCTTTAAGCCGCACCAATATACAATGCCCCATGTTTTCACAAGTGGGCACAAAACCTAAAGTGAGAGGATGAGGGCCTCCCTGGTAACCTAGGAGTTAAGTCTCAGCACTATCACCACTAGGGCCTGAGTTCAATCCCTGGCCAGGGAGCTAACCCAAAAGTGCAGCAGACCTCTCCTGTCTCGCCCATTGTTCCCCTCAGCAGTGTATTTCAGTAGATCTGCCTGTTCTGTTCCCCGCTCTGTCGTTGGTGAATCCTCTCATCCCCCCCACACCTCTGGCCTACACCCCAGTTCTTCTAAACACACACACACACACACACACACATAAGAGGATGGCCATATTTACAGAGCCTGTACCAGAGGCCAGATGCTTGGCCAAATGCTGGGGATAGAGGTAAGAGGCAGCCTCTGCCTTTCAGGTCTCCCAACCAACACTCTTCCTACAAAGTCAGTCAGGGCTTCAGGGACTACACGTAGGTTGCTGGCTTCACACCAGTGTATCCACTCCACATCGTGCTTGCCTCTTCAGCTTTGTCCACACATTGCAAGACTTCCTCACTGCGATGTCCATGGACTTCTCCAACTCAATATCTGCAACACTGAACAATGTTTCCCTAGAAACTGCTCTTTTTCACACTAGGTACCCATCTCAGAGATGGCAGAACCTGGAACTTTCCCTCTGATTCTCCCATGACTGCCTGCCCCATGTTCTCTAGCCTCTGTCCCCCTGCTCCTACTTCTTGGATCTCTCTTTTCCAGGCACCCCTCACTACCCACACACTCTGGGGCAGGGGCAGGCCGCCACCATCCATTGCCTGCCAATGCTTCTTATATGGTCAAACCACCTGGCATCCCAGCACGCTACCCTCATGTGACTACCCAGACTGCAGCCAGTGTGTCCCTCCTAGAATGAATATATGGCTGCCACTTATCTGCTTAAAACCTTTCCTGGTTTCTGGTTGCTCTTAGAATAAACTCTAAATCCTTTAATACGCATCACAATGCATCACAGCCTGGGGGCAGCCCATCTTGCTCTCACTGGGCACCTCTCTCCTCTCTCAACACTAATCACATAAAACTCCTTCAGTTCCTTGAATTCTGCACTGACTGCTCCAGGCCCCACACACCCTCCTCCTTTTGCTCTTCCTGTAAACTCCCATGCCAAGGAATGGTAATCCTGAAAGAACAAGGACAGACTCACAGTAAGAGCAGTCACTATTCCTCGGCATAAGTGCAGCCCTCTATGTTTGCTAAGAGATCTCACTATAACCACATAACAGTAATGATCATATTTTGCAAACAAAATTCTGAAGAATCCAATGGAATTTTGGACACTAGGTCTGTCCATGAACATATTGGCTTCATGGAAGTCCCCATTTGTGTCATAGACATTTAGAACTCTGACCTTCCTGCAGGGGTAGAGGGGATGGCTGGGTGATTTCATAGGCTGGGGTCCAGCTGAGGCTCTAGGCACCTGTCACACTGTGGACTTAATATTTAGTTCAGTGTGTTGGAGTGATTTATCTTGTTTTCTCGGTTCTGCTCAGTGAAGAGGTGCCAAAAACAAACACAAATACCTCTTTGTGGTTCCTAGGAGTGTAAAGGATCTATGGAGCACCTGGAGCTGCTCCCTGTCTTGAAGGCCCGACTAGCAGAGAGCCCTCTGCTTGCACATACATACCTTAGGGCACAAGCCTATTGTACCGAACAGGGGCAATGAGGCCCTCTGTCAGGATTAAATAGAAAATGCACCCATCCCAGTAGGAACAGAACCAGATGTGTGATTCTAGATTCAGATATCTATACCAACTTGAACGCAGAATTTATGGGGCAGGTGGGTTAAGTTCTGTGGGATTGAATACACGAGAGGTGTCCTAGGACCTCCAAATAACAGACATCCTTGGTAGAACTTACAGGAAGACAATGAAAGAATTTTCCTTCAAAGATCCCTTGGGCATTATGCCAAGTAAAATATCAGACAGAGAAAGAAAAATACTGTAGACCTCACTTAAAGGTGGAATCTAAAAACCTGGGCCTCCCTGGTGGCGCAAGGGGTTAAGCAATGCACCATGAAGCAATCCGCAGCCTCTGCAGCTAGAGTTCAATCCCTGGCTGGCCAGGGAGCAACCCACATGGGGCAGCAAACCTCTCCTGTCTCGCCCGCTGCTCCCCTCAGCAGTGTATTTCAGTCAATCTGCCTGTTCTGTTCCCCACTCTGTCTCTGGTGAATCCTCTCATCCCCTGCATCTCTGGTCTGTACCCCAGTTCTTGTATGCATAAATAAATAAATCTTTAACAAAAAATAAAAATAAAAAATCTGAACTCAAGAGGAGAACAGCTTAGTGGTTGACAAAGGCAGGGTGGGGGGAGAGATGGGAACTGGACAAAGGGGATCAGAAGGTACAAAATTTTATAACAAACACTTATAAAATAAATACTGCACAGAGATTTATTTATAAAATAAATACCTCACAGAGGGAATGTACAGCTTGGTGACTAAATACACTATATTGTGTATTAGAAAGCTGCTAAGAGAATAGATCTTGAAAGTTCCTATCACAAGAAAAAAATTGTGACTGTCTGATGATGGATGTTAACTAGACTTATTGTGGGGATCACTTTGCACTATATACACCTATCAAATTACTATGTTGCACAGCTATAACTAATACAACATTATAGGTCAATTATATCTCAATAAAAGTGGGGGTGGGGGATCCCTGAGGATGTGTGAGTGGATAGAGACCCAGCATCAGCTCCTGCCTTGGAGGTGGAGGTGGGTTGTCTCCTCAAGGTTTCTGGCCTTTATCACAGCATCAGCTCCTGCCTTGGAGGTGGAGGTGGGATGTCTCCTCAAGGTTTCTGGCCTTTATCACAGCCCCAATTTTATATTGACTTCTGGAATTTTCCAGTAATTATGGAAAAAATAATGGTTAACTGTGAGTTTGTGAACCCCTTACTAGTCTACTCAAAATTACATAATGAAGAACAGGTAGACACTGAAATCCAAAAAGTGAGCCAGTGAAGAGGGTGAAGTGTGCTGTCAAACAGGTAGAAAGGGAGGCAAGAAGGGAAGGACTGTGAATGCTTTGTCTCCTGGCAGCCCAGGACTGATCCTTGCAATATGATGATGGTCTCTACTTCTGGGTGGAGTTACTGGAAATTGTGCCAAATCACATTAAGTCTGCCCAAAGCCTCCAGGCGGAAAAAGTGGTTTCTGGACAGAAGAACGTGCCACAGAACCAAGGCCATGTGCCTAACCTCATCCTCTCAGCACCTTTGATAACATGCTCACAAGCAAAGAGGGATTTGAATCTGCTGAAATCTTCCATAAAAGGAATCTAAATGCAGACAGCACGACATCCAAAAACTCCCCAGAGAAATTCCTATTATGTGCAAGGAAGGCGGTGGGGTGGGGGGAATGAAGCAAGTTCCATCCTGCTGGGCAGGGAACATTCTTTGCTTAGTGAAACTTCATGGTTCTTGTGTTTATTGCCAACCGAATGCTTCATCTAGACCAAAGCCCTGCCCACCAAGGTGTCAGTATACTGAAAATGAGCTAGATGGAGCAGGAAGCACTGCACTGGGAAAGTCTCTAAAATGCCAAAGCCAAAAAGGCAAGATATAAATAAGGATATTATTTTTATAAAGCCCCTAACTAGTTTTGAGCCAGTACTATGGCTAATGCTGCTCAAAGTTGCTATAGCAAAATAGTGACATTATCTTTTTCCATTAGCCTCCTATGGCTACACAAGCCAAAATCAAGAAAATAGACTGTATTACGAGTGACTTTCCTACTGTGGGACTCATGCTCCCATGTAAGCCTCAGAACTTTAAAGTAAGTGTATAGTAAAATTAGCCAGCTAGGAAATAAAAGCACAAGCAGATGAGGTGACTCAACTCAAATGTCACTGCTCACAGAGGTCTCCCCTGACGAGCAAATATGATCCACTTTCTTGACTATGCAGTAACCCTAGTTACACTTTAATCGGTAACTTTGATAACTATCAAGTTACCTCATGAAGTTATGAGTGAGTTTTCCTCTGCTGTTTGACTACAGACCCCAGAGACAGGAGCTTTGCAGGGTTCATTACTCGATCCCTAATACCTTATCCAGAATCAGCCCCCAGTCATATTTGGCTGCCTTCCCAAATACCAAAAGTCAAAAGATCAATTATCTGTAACTTAAGGCTTTGTGGACTCCAAAAAAAAACAGCATTCACATCAATTCACCAAAAAATCATACACTGGAATGAAAGTTATTATAGATAGATAGATAGATAGATAGATAGATAGATAGATAGATAGATAGATAGATAGATAGATAGATAGATAGATAGATATAGCGTGTGTGTGTGTGTGTGTACACATACTCTTCATTAAATGTACACTTTGGGCAAAGTGGTTGGAAGCAACTGTGGTCCACAGACCAACAGCATCAGCCTGAATATCACTCAGCAATCTGTTAGCAAAGTAAAATCAAGGCCCCATTAAGGTTCCAGTGAATCAGAATATCCAAGGGTGGAGCCCCAAAATCTGTTTACTGAAGTTCTCCAGGTGACTTTGTAAACTCAGAAGTTTTGAATGATTGTTATTCAGAAATAAAGGTGATAATAAGCAAGACATGTCAGCAGGACTAGGATTGGACCAGAGACAAATAGTACAAATAGTACATTCTTGCTGTCATTTCAATTAAGAAAAAACAAAAAACAGGAAAAGAAGGATGAATTATACGCACACGCCTGGCACCCGGCATGCGAGCCTATACTGCTTCCCACCTAGTGTCGCCCAGGCTGCCCATATCTGACTACACAACCAGCAGGATGGCAGGCTTCACCTGGTTTCCCTCTCCTTCCAGGGGGCAGCAACATCTGTGGCTCTTTCTAGAAATCATTCTAACAGTGGTCCTCCAGGTGAAGCAAGGAAAAGCAATGGGACAGGGCAATCACGCCGCATACCATGGTTCAGGTGCCGGATGCAGTCGCAGAGGAGGGCACTGAACTTCCTCTGCTCGGCAGCCTCCTGGAAGCAGAAGTAGCCGTGCCTGAGGAAGGGCTGCCACAGGTACACAGGGAACTCCTTTGGAAAGACCACAAAAGGCTGGCTGGCCTCCTTTTCGCTGGTTGCTAAAGATGGAAAATGCAAAGACATTTTAAATATATTATCTTTTAATTTAAAATACATGTCCCAGGGCCTCCCTGCTGGCGCAAAGGGTTAAGTCTCAACACTATGAAGCTATCACCAGCCACTGCACCATGAGTTCAATCCCTGCCAGGGAGCTAACCCACATGGCGTAGCAGACCTCTCCTGACTCGCCCGCTGCTCCCCACAGCAGTATATTTCTGTAGATCCACCTGTTCTGCTCCCCACTCTGTCTCTGGTGAATTCTCTCACACCCCTCCTCCCCCCTCACCTCTGGTGTACACCCCAGCTCTTGGATGCATAAATAAATAAAATAAATCTTTAATAAAATAAAATACATGTCTCAGGCTGTGAAGGCAAGTCTCTGGGGCAGTCCACGGGATGGGAAGGGGAGCGAGGCGACCTACAGGTGGCAGAGTGAGAACTGTGGTTCCTCCTGCTGCCTCCGCCTGCCCGCAGGTCTCACTCAGCAGATGGCTCTCGCCTTCTTGCGTAGAAATCACCCACAGACATAGCTGGCTGTCCCTACCGGTCCTCTGCTTTCTCACCTGCCCACCTGGCCAGCATCTATCCTAACACCCCTCCCATCAGGTGGGGAAAAAATAATGTAATGATCTGTTTGTTCACCAAAAATAATGTAATAATCTGTTTCCCTGTCTGGCACCCATACTCAGGATGAAGGGCACAGAGTGAGGTAAATTCCCTTCCTGGTTTTCAGGTAGTCCCATCCCCCCCAGGAGGCAGTGCCACTGTCTATAGCTTAGAGGATGGAGACTTTATCTTGCATATCTTTATACCCTCAGTCTAGAGCAAGCCACAGAACCTAGTAGACATTCAACTACAGTTTCTTGAATGAATAAATATCCTATGTTGTCCTAAGAAATTTAAAAAACAATGAACTTTTTCCTTTTCCTTCAAAAGTAATTCCAAGAAACCCGTGTTAGCCATGCTACCATCAGATCCCCTACCTAAACTTTGTTCCCTCGCATGCATTCCATTTATATGACATGGCATTTGGTTAAATGAGCCCCAGCTTATTTTCAGAGTCATGCAGAACAGACAGAAGGAAGAAAATCAGCCCCGTGCTCTCTGCCTACACAATGGCACCATCTTCAAGGAAAGGAAGGTAAGGCGAACACTCTGATAACAAATAAAAGCACTAGATATACCCAGATGTGGATAAGGGATAAAGAAGTGGATAGAGATGTATTTTAAAGTGAATACACCATAAAGGAGCCTCCAGAACTGAGTCTTGGTACTGGCAAGTTAATAAATCAAAACTGACTTAGATAAAGTATAAATTTCCTGAGGCATAGAGGGCAGCCCTGTTTTAGTGACCTGAAATCTGAACATAACAGAGTAAAAAGCATTGGGAGCAAAGTAGCCAAATACCTGGTACATAATAACAACAGACAGAATCAGCATGCAAATGTACAAACAAAAGAATGAATGACTGAATGTTCTAGCAGAGACCTCTATTTGTAACACAGTATCTTTCTCAGTAATACAATCCTACTTTTTGTTTTATCGATTTATTGATTTATTGATTTCTGCTCCCAGACCTTCTCAGCAGACAGTCCCAGGAGTATTTATAAGTACATTCATAAATGCATAAGCAAATATTAATATCTGCATCTATATCTGCATATATACAGCTAGATAGAGATAGATAGATAGGTAAGTAGATAGATAGATAGATAGATAGATAGATAGATAGATAGATAGATAGATAGACAGACAGACAGATATAGTAGAAGGGTAGATAGAGATGTATTTTAAAGATACAAGATCACTCTGATGTCTCTGATTCCAATCCAATACTATAGCAATCCCTGATTTTTAATTGAGCAAGTAACTACATGGGATCATGACTAGCTTTCCAGCCTCCACTACAGTTTGAAGTGACACAGCCACTAAGTTTTGGGCAATGTGATATAAACAGAAGTGTCAGATAAACTTCCTGAGCTTTCTGGGAATATCGTTAAAGAAAAGGAAATTTCCTGTCTCTTTCCTTTTTCCCTTCCTGCTCTCTGGAGCAAGCACATGGCCAGTGCTCCAACAACTACCTGCCCTTTATGAGAGAGAGAGTCCTTGACCTTTATGACATGTCACATCAGCACTGGACTGCTCATATACAAGTATTTTTGGCAAGATGATAAAATCTTATGAATTTAATTTGAATTTTTTTTGTGTGTCAGCTAACTGGAGTCTAACTAGCAATATTCCAAATAAATGAATCACTTTAGCAAAACTTGAGGGCAGTTGGGACACTTCATTTTAGCAGAATACTGTGTAAAGATGACATAATTATTGATAAACCTCTACCACTTTTTCGCAAGGGACATTAATTCCTCCCATCTTTATTGTGTCTTTTTTTTTTATTCTTTCCAGTAGAATCAGTAACACATCTTTCTAAGATGTCATAATTTTGTACAGACAACTGAAAGCAACATTGACCCTTTGCATGTAAAAGATTCAGCAAGTACCATACAATTTACAATAAGACTCTAGTTATCTCATTTAACTTTTTACAACTATTTTCCAGATGCCATTAATCTGCATTTTTTCTGAATTGAGTTACAAGGATATACAAATGACCTACTGTAGAATATTCTATTTTTGAAACTCAGAAGGTCATACCACACAATAAAAAAAAATCATTGAAATGCCTCAATCTGAAATCCTCGGCCAAAAGGCATTAGTCACACAGGCTTTGTGTTTTTTATCCCTTTGATTGCTTCTGGTTTCATCAATAAGTATATTGTCTCTCTGAACTCATTTCATTGGAAATTCTTTGGAGAGATTCTAAAACATGTTGGTATTCCCATTTCTACAGCAGTTCCAGAGTCAAGATGACACATAAGTAGATATTGAGAGAAAATATAATAACATGTGTCATGCACATAATGCACTGCTTTAGCTTGAATTACTTAGCAATAGTTTGCCAAGCTAGGTTTATGATCCATGTACTAATCCAAATAGCGTTATTAAAAACACTATGCTAAGCATTCTGCACCGAAATAACAATGAATAAAATGATTACATTTTCTCCATAAATTCTAATGAAAGGATCATACCATTAATAAAAACCAGGCCTCTCTTCAAGAAACCAAGTAATTATTGTGTTGTATGATTTACACAACACCAAATGGAGTTATTACATTATCCACAGTTCATGAATCTCCATAAGATGCACTATTTGGTTGATACGTAATCCATCACTGTCTCTACATGTGAAAAGTGGAATGAATGAGAATCGAAGTATGGCAGAATTGAAAAGATCCTTCTAGGTTTTCAATTCAAGGCCCTAGTGTTGGAGAAACAGAAACCGGAGAGGTTCAGCATGAGAACAGGATAAAAATTCAATCTCCCAAATCTCAGTTCAATGCTCTTTCCATGACAGCATTCAGCTATGATTTAGAGACATGCTAACTAATATCATTTAAAAAAAAAACAGTGGCTCTGAGTTACTGTAGTGTTTGTTACATGTTTTTTGTTGTTTTAGGGTATTTTATTGCATATCATCCTGAAATTAGAAACATATTCCCTGACAGGTCCAGGCTGACTTCCTGAAAGACAGGTTTGCACATTTCATAGATGGGGTCCTATCTATTTATTTCTGCTGTCCTGTATACTGTTATTAAAGCTTGTAGTATATTCCAATGCTTTCTGTGCATTAGGAACACAGTATCACTGACTGCGATTTAAAACAATAGAAGTGGTCCAATGTTTACCTAAATTTGGAAAAACACATCTTCCATTTGTCTATGGAGAATGCATGTCTAGTCCAGGGTTTCTTCAACCCTGGCAACTATTGATATTCTACACTGAATAATTCTTCATTTGACAGGGGCAGGCCTGTGAATGGCAAGGTATTGAGCATATCATTGCCATCTCCATCGACTCATTAAGTAGCTGTCATACCATCCTCCCAAAGTTGGGACAAAGATCTCCAGATAATGCCAAATGTCTCTGGACAGTGAAATCCTCCTACCCCACTGGAAAGCACATGTCTAGCTGAATAAAGCAAGTTTAGGAATTTTCCCTTGGGAAAGGATGCTCAACAACTTACCAATAGGGTCTGGAAAATGCCGATCAGATAATAAATTGTAGTCATTGTCTGAAGTTAATACCTTGCCACCAGCTGGAAGAATTCGGCTTTTAGGAGCAGCTCCTTTCTGGTATGCCTGGGAAAGTAAAAGCAGAAATGAATTTTTTTTCCTATTTGGATTTTCAGAAAACATCAGCAATATAAGAGAAACACAGACAGAGCTAGACGCATATCCTCAGATACAGTAATTCCCACACTGTCATTGAATAAGAGCTGTTATTGAAAAAATGTGTTTTGTATACCTGCTACTTGCAAGGCAATATTTTCATACTTCAGTGTGATGGTCACAACATAGTAGATAAGAGTCCCTAATCTTAGGGAGAGTCACTGTCAGTTTGCTTCTCAAATGGGAAAAACGTAACCTCAGTAGCATCTAGAAACACTCTACCATTCTTACTATTTCAGCACCTGAGTCATTCTCATAATCACAAGGTGAGAATGCACACAGATACTTCCTGCACAAAATGCTTGGTAACCAATGACAAATGAGACAGTAGGACATGTAACTGCAGTTACAGTTGCCATGATTTTCACCAAAAACAAAAATGTTGCCTTCCTTAAATGTGCTACCACTTGGCCCTCAAACATGAGAATGTGTTGCAGTAAAACGGTTAGGGATAGAAGTGCAATATCATGACATCATAATGAGTGCTGACCAGTAGACAACTATCTCTGCTGTTTGGGAAATGGAAAATCAGTACGGAGCATCCTACAGCAGATGTGTGAAACCAATAGACCCATAAAGACCTCAGATAGGATAAAATGTAAGTAAGTGCATCTGATGTGAGAGTTTGAAACAAAGCAAAATTTGGGGAACAACAACCTCCAAGCAAGTTTAGAAGTGAAACCAAGAAACTGGGGACCCCAAATCCAGAGTATACTCTTGGAAATAGCTAAAATAATGTTTTAGGGCAAAAAAATCAGAATAACAGTAACACATTCTGCATCAATAAGAGAGTGACTGGAGAGACCCAAACAAATCCAGCTCTCATTTATTGAAGAAGGTCGCATTCTTGCTTGTAAGAACCACAAATGGATTGCTCAAGCCAATTTGGGAACCAGAGCACAATAGAAGAATCGAAAGTGATGTGATTTTAGAAAAGTTTAGAAGCAGTTCAAGTTGGCCTCCTATTTAAATTGTATTATTTGTTACAACAGGCCTGAGCTTTTATAAAAATTGCATGATGTAATCTTCAAAATAGCACTATGAATTAGATACTATCTTCACTTTAAAAATGAAAAAATGAAACTCATAGAGGTTAAATAACTTGCCAATGGTAAGTAGGTGACATATTCAGGCTTTAATCCCAGTCTGTCCAGCCCCCAGGACTGTCCAACAAGTGCCAGGGAGTAGGAAGTGATTGGTAGATGAGAGTGCTTCACCTTTTCTTTTTTAACTATTAGCCAATAGTAGGCTAATAGTACTCAATGTTTATAGGTACTTAATGTTCAAGTCTTAGGTATTATTAAAAACACTTCTGTAACTAAAAAGCAGGATATTAACATTTGAAGAACTGAAGAAAATTGCATGGGCATTTTTTTTTAAACTTCCAAGTTTTTTAAACTTTATCACCAAATCCAGATACCATATCCTCCTATTATAACAACCCAACAAATTCATTTGAAATGATGAGCAAAGAAATCGATATATATATTGCAAATCGTCTGTATATTGCAAGCTTAAAAAATGAAAAGAGGAAAAACACCAAAATTTGATTAAAAATGAAACTACAGTTAGTACTGAATGTGGTGAAAACCCCAAAAAATCCAAGAGCATGCTGAGTTTTTCCTCCCAATGAATTAGTAGTAATCACACAACAAATGTTCTATATTGGGCTCTATATTGGGCGATGTACAAAGTGTTTCAATATATTCACTTGTTTAAAACATCACCATGACAAAGTGACCATGCTGACTATTCTTACAGATGAGAAAACCAGGATCAAGGAGATTTATATCTGGGATCTGATAAAGGTGTGATTCACCATAATGATATTAATCATCATACCATACTGCATCTCTCAAGTTTCCCTGAGAGAAGATTGCAGTGTACCAAAGAGAATGTAAAGGATCTGCTATTGTTACTCACATTGTGTTGATCATTTGCTTCAGAGAGAAATCAAGACTAAAATGAGGGTCTCCCTGATGGCGCAAGGGGTTAAGACAGCCTACAAGGCTGTCCGCAGCCTCTGCAGCAGGAGTTCGATCTCCCACTGGCCAGGGAGCAACCCACATGGTGCAGTAGACCTCTCCTGACTCATCTACTGCTCCCCTCAGCAGTGTACTTCGGTCAATCTGCCTGTTCTGTTCCCCACTCTGTCTTTGGTGAGTCCTCTCAGGCCCCATACCTCTGGCCTGTACCCCAGCTTTTGTATGAATAGATAAATCTTTAAAAAAAAACTTTAAAAAAAAGAGTTGGGGCCTCCCCGGTGGCGCAGCGGTTGAGCGCTGGGTTGCGAAGCTGCCCGCAGCCTCTGCAGCGCCGGTTCGATTCCCGGCTGCTCCCCGGCCACCAGAAGAGGGTCCCACATGGCGCGCAGACCTCTCCTGCCGCCCGCTGCTCCCCTCAGCAGTGTACTTCGGTCCTTCTGCCTGCTCTGCTCCCCGCTCTGGCTCTGGTGAATTCTCTCACCCTCCCGCGCTTCTGACTGTACCCAGTGCATGTATAAACAAAACAAACGAACAAATAAATAAATAAAACATGCCTCTATAAAAAAAAAAAAATAAAAAAAAAAAATAAAAAAAAGAGTTGAATGAAATTCTAATATAGATAAGCAAAAAATATATTAGCTTAATGTTGAAAAGATGACACTATTCTTAAAAGAGCACTTGAGCATTGTCTGGGAGTCCATGGATAAGTTTGAACTGCATTTTATGTCTGTTCTCCAAAAGGAAACACATAGGTCTGTCAGCAAGAAGCCTCTTCTTAATGGTTTAGCATCAGGGGTATTGCTCAGAATATCTGTGCAGGTTGTCCTGGCTACTCCTGAACTCAGAGTAGTTGGTCTTCATTCACAGTCCTGGCTCATAGGTCCCAAAGCATGGGAATTTTCTAAGAATTGAGCATATTAAAGGTATGTCTTGTTATGTTCAATGAGGTGACTCTGGGGGAAGTACCTAAGGGTGAGGGTCAGTTGCCCGGAGAAACCAACCATGTGGCTGGAAGGTTGGAATTGCTAGTTCTACCCCCAGACCTCAAGGGAGGGGAGATGGCTGGCTGAGTTCTGTTGCCAGTGAGTTAATCCTCATGCCTATGTGGTGAAGCCTCCAGGAAAAAAGCAATATTCAGGAGCTTTGGAGAGCTTCCAGGTAGGTGAACATGTGAACATCTGAGAAAGTGGCACACCTGGACAGGGCACAGAAGCTCCATTTTTTCCCCATACTTTTCCCTATGCATCTCTTTCACTTGACTATTTGTAAGTTATATCCTTTGTAATAAGTCAGTGATCTAATGAGTAAACAGATTTCCTAAATATTCTAAAGTCTTCTAGCAAACAGATCTGAGGAGGGGTTCAAGGAACCTCTGATCTACAGCTCTTTGATTGAATGCACAGCTAATAACCTGACTGTGGCTGGCATTGCTGGCATCTAAAGTGGAAGCCAGTCTTGGGAGACTGAGCCCTTAACCTGTGGCATCTGATGAGCTGAGCTCTCATACTCCCTGCTGGTGTTCAGGAATTGCTTGCTGGTGTGGAGAAGACTCCACACTCACTCATATCAGAATTGGATCCAAGAACTCAAACAGCAACTATTCATTTTAAAGGGAGCTTGAGAATCTATGTGAACTAAAACTGCTATAGTGTGAGATCTGGAAGGAATCAATGGGCCAATCAGCCCAACTCCCTAGTTTTACTGAAGTCTGACCTTAACTTTAGTTTTCCAAGCTCTCTGTTTAGTATTCTTTTCCATATGCCATGGTATCTTTCTAAATAGGGAAAGACACAGGAACCCTGTAGGGTAAGGTAAAAAAAGTATCAGGCTTTCTGCCCTCCCACCATTAGGATTGATGATGGATCCCTGGGTCCTGAATGCATGTCTGGTGGTGGGCACCTGGAGTGAGTTGTGGGCATGGTAGATGGGATACACCTGGGCTAAGACTGGGCTTATAAGGGCGGTGTCATGGGGACACCAGCAGAGAGCGAAACAACAGAGCGAGAATAAAAGAAGCAGGAGAGAGAACCAGGCCACAAGAGAATGCTGAAGAGCCCAGAAAGAGTGAAGACTCGCTGGGGGCTGCGAGGCCTGCCAGCCTCCCGGGCCCCTGGCACCCCGGCTCCCCTGCCAGCCGTGTACCTGGTAAATCCCAATAAAATCCTGCAAAAGCCAGCAAGGGCTCCAGGACTCTCTCCTTCACCCGTCTGCTCGAAACCGTGGAGCTAGAAGGAATTATGCTCAGTGAAACAAGCCAGAAGGAAAAAGAAAAATATCTCATGGTTTCACTTATAATAGGAATATAGGGGAACCCAATAAGATACCAGTGTAAAAAAATAATAACAGTACAAAACACAACAAAGCAAAAATAGACAATTATAAATCAGAGACATACTGCAGGGGAGGAGGAGGAAGAAGGGTTGGAGGGAGGGAGGGAGGGAGGAGCACAGGGGGCTGTGGTGATGGTGCACAGGTGCCTTGGTGAAGGAAACTCTATGGGTACTACACCTGAGGGGGTGGGGGGAAGCAAATATTGTTTAAAAATGAACAACGATGTAAAAAATTTTTAAAAATTTAGGAAAGTAAAAAATAAAGTTTTAACACACACACGCACGCAAAAAACACAGGTATCCTGTTCCGTGCCCTTCCTGGCACTACAAACCCATTAAAACAGAGGTCCTCCCAGGTGTCTGAGACCTTTCTATACTTTACAGATGAGGAAAATGAGTTAACAGTTAGGAAAAAATTAAATGAAAAAAAATCTGTAAGTGGAGTAAAATATGTGAAAGGTCCTGATTTCCTGGGAACCCATGCAAATTCAGTCACAATCACCTTGAAAGCAGAAAGAAACTGAGACAGAGCAGAGAGGGGAACAATACAGTGATTGAGAACAATCTAAAGGATCAAAAAAAAAAAAAAGGATCAAACCTGGATTTGATTGGCATAACCTTCAACAGTCATACTCACTTGCAATTAAAGTCTATCTTCTCACTCAAAACATCTGTCTGATCTACCCTTTTGCCCAGAACCTTCTATAAAACTTGGCATATAATAGGCATTCAATAAATATCTATTGACTGAAATAAGTACCTGTGTGAGTATGTGCTCAGTAAATGAGTCAATCTGGAAGAAGAGAGCACGCTAAACCACTCAGCCAACTTGTAAGAACTGTGGAAAGAACAGTGGTAACCAGGAAATGTCTCACCTCTTTGTTCTCGTAGCTTTCCACAGCAAAATCATTTTTAACCACAACATATCTCTCCTTCCATTTCTTTATGTCTTCGGCAAAATGTGACAGCTCTGCTTCATACAGAACAGTTCCAGGCTCCAGTGGTGGCTTTTAAAAAATGAATACAAGGGATTATCACAGCAAAGGTAATGTGCCATGCTACCACTAAGTCTATCCAGGGTATTTCAAGGAATATTTTGGGAAACTATCTTGGGATGAAATCCTGAGGAATTTGTTTCTTCCTTCCCCTCCCTCTACATTTCCTTTTTCTGCTCCCCCTGACTAAATACAAATATTTGTCCATTGATTTTTTTTTTTTTACCAATTTCCATTTCCCTACAATAAGCTACAGTAATAGCATATGTAGAAGGAAGTATTGTAATAAGCCTGTGCCTGGTATACACACACATCATAAATCTTCAATGACCTGTGTGAGAGAGTCAGGGAAGTACAGGTTATAGACATCTACCCCAACGCCCCAAGGTGCCTTGGGATTAAAATAAAACTATATAAAAAAGAAGAATGAAGAGGCTGATGCCTATTATCACATCTTCAGAGCAGCCTCAACAGTCAGTGCTCAGTGGTTTGCCCAGACCCCAAATCCCCAGTCTATGATCACTTCATCCATCCCAGACTTGCTCTTTGACTAAAGAACAAGCAGACAAGCCAGCAAAACTAATTTCTACCTCTTCTACTTAAAAGTGTGAGTCTTTCTCATTAATGCTGGTGATGCATATGCTGAAGGGGAGTCTCCCTTAGATTGCCAGTTAGGTCTCCCATTGGGCTAACTGGAAGGGAAAATTCCCATCCTGCTCATAGTGTAATTCTCACATTATCTCAAAATACAGGAATGAGCCCCTAGTCTTCACATGTCACTGAACGTACATCTACTTTCCCTTTTAAAAAACTTAGTGCCAGGCCTGCCTGGTGGCACAAGGGGTGAAGCACCACATTATGAAGCAATCCGCAGCCTCTGCAGCATGAGTTCGATCCCCAGCTGGCCAGGGAGCAACCCACATGGCGCAGCAGACCTCTCCTGACTCGCCCGCTGCTCCCCTCAGCAGTGCACTTCAGTCGATCTGCCTGTTCTGTTCCCCATTCTGTCTCTGGTGAATCCTCTCACCCGCCACATCTCTGGCCTGTACCCCAGCTCTTGTATGCATAAATAAATAAATCTTAAAAAAAAAAAAAACAAAAAACTCAGTGCCATGAGATATTCATCTCACCACTTCCAGGGAAAATTTACATGATCATACAGAGGAGATCATCACTCTAATCTTTTTAAGAATGTCTAAAGGATAAATTTAATTCCCTTTCGAATGCCAGGGCTTCCTATTCTGCCCTGAGAAACACCAAGGCAGCTGTCTATCTTACTCATTGCAAGGTAAGACAGGGCCTGCCTCTTCCCCTTCAATGAAACTGAAACCACATATAAGCTGAACTTCACAGTTCTGAGGCACTTAAGTCAACTGGGCTACTTAAGTCAACTGATACGCTTGTTAAAAATATGGCCTCGCCTAGACTGACTGTGTCAAAATGACTGGGGGTGTGTACATGAACCTGCATTTTAATGAGCCCTTTAAATTCTGAGAATCACTGTTCTATGAGGATAACAACCAATAACCTGACACACCCATGCTATTAAATCTATGGGTCAATGTATTAGGCTTCTCAGTACTGTTGGGTCTACTTATCATTCCCTCCTCGAAACCCCTTCTTTGTTTGGCTTCTGGTGCATCATACTTTCTAGATTTTTCTCCTACTCCAGAGGCTATTTCATCTCAGTCCATCATGCTATATCCTTCTCTTTGTTCTGATCTCCAAATGAAGAGGGTTTAATTGTGGAACCTCTTTTTTTTCCTGTCTGTGCTCTCCTTTGATTGTGTCCCCAGGTTTTAATACCAGTTATAAGCTAAACAACTCCCCAATTTCTATTTCCTAGTCTCCACCTTTTTACCGAGCTCCAGATTCAAACAACCAACATCCCCATAGTTGTATGTCAAATATGCAGCCCAAACTTAATATGGCCAAAAGTGAACCAGGATTGACATTCACCTAGGACTCTTCCTTCTGAGTAAATGGCAACTGCATCCTCTTATTTGCTTAGGCTGAAAACCCTGACGTCATCACTGACTTTCCTCTTCTCTTATCTCATACCCAATCCATCAGCAAATTCTGTCAGATCTCAAATATACCTTGACTTGGACCTCTTTTCACAACTGCTACCACCATCTTTTTCCAGTTTGCCATCATCCTTTTCTTGGACTGCCATGTCTCCTCAGTCTCCATTGTCCCATCCCATAGTCTATTCTCTATGGAGAGGCCAGAAAGATCACCTAACATTATACCACTTTGTAGACAATCCCCCCTCCCTAATAACTTCCTATCACACTTAAAATCAAACTCTTTTTGGCCCACAGGCCTGACAGGGTCTGGTCCCTACCTGTTCTGCAAATACTTCTTCTACTCTCCTCTCTAGCTCATAATGTTATCAGCACACCAGCCTTCCTGCTGTACTTATGACTGCTGCAGGGTCTTTGCACTTGCTGTTCCATCTGCCTGGAATACTCTTCCCACAGATATTCACACAGCACAGTTTCAGCTCAAATGCCATTTGCACAGAGGGCATCTCTGCCATATTCTCTGTTGGTCACAGACTCCTGCGGCATTTCTCTTTATAGTATTTACTATCACCTGATAATTTATTTGTTTACTGTCTGCCTCATATATTTATTTTGTATTGTTAATTTTTTAATAAATGTATTTATTTTGCCTCCTATATTTGAGTATAAACAAAGAAGTAGAGAATGCAGTTCTTGGAATAAGCTCTAGCATGTAGTAGATGCCTATTAATACTTATTGGGGCTGTGGATTACTGCTATATACAGCAAAGGAGAGAGAAGTTAGGGGGTGAGAAGAGAAAATTGTATTTGACCAATTATTACCAAAATTAAAATACCCTAGTCTGAGGCACTGAAATTTTGGCTTTTTTTTTTTTTTTAATAAACTGCACTATGGCAACTCAAATTCCCTAATATTCAAGCATCAATGTATGAAAAACATAATGAAATTGTTGCCATGCTAGTTTTTATTCTCTATGGACTACATCATCAATAAGAAATCACATGTTCTAATTTCCATGCAGATAGTTTCTTGAGCATGAAATGATTTGAGAATAGGTTTTAAAACTGACATTCAACTGTTTCTTATTTCAGAAATATTATGAGTTAGAGAGCTTTCTTCAGTGGGAGATATATGTAAGTCAAATATTTGTGAGTTACCTTGGTCTTCAAAAACTGTGATGCTAAATCCCTGTGCTGTTCCACCTCATTGCGTACATGATTGCAGAAAGCCACAGAGTACTGGCGACTGTAGTAGGGACTGAAGTTTTTGATAGCAGCCTCGGTTTTCCCTGGAAAAGCAGGAAAATTCAAGGTCAGAAATGTAGCATCTCTCACAAATAGACACCTATCTACATAATTCTAGAGACACCCTTCTGGTCTCCCAAGCACCACTATTTCCCATGGACTTGCTCTGAGCCACATTCTTTGAGAACGTTGCTATCTGTGGCACATGCCTCTATCTCTCCCTCCCCTTCTGGTATCAGGGTCCTTAAGGACTTTTTTTAGGAACTGGTTTAACCTGGTAGCAGAGGGGGAGAAGGGACAAGGGTTTTTATGTCAAAAACCCATGGCCATACACATATCAAAAAACCCAGCAACAACAAATGTTGGCGAAGATGTGGTGAAAAAGGAACCCGCCTACACTGCTAGTGGGAGTGCAAACTGGTCCAACCACTATGGAAACCTGTGTGGAGGTTCCTCAGTCTACTAAAAATGTAGCTACCATATGACCCGGCAATTCCACTACTAGGGATCTACCCAAAGGACACAAAAACATTGATTCAAAAGAACACCTGTACACCTATACACCTATGTTTATTGCATCACTATTTACAATAGGTAAAACCTGGAAATAACCCAAATGCCCAAAAACAGATGACTGGATCAAGAAGATGTGGTACATATACACCATGGAATATTATTCAGCAATCAAAAAAGATAAACTCATGCCATATGCAGCAATGTGGATGGAGCTAGAAGGAATTATGCTCAGTGAAATAAGCCAGAAGGAAAAAGAAAAATATCAGATGGTTTCACTTATAACAGGAATATAGGGGAACCAAATAAGATATCAGTGTAAAAAAAAATAATAATAGTACAACAGACAACAAAGCAAAAACAGACAATTATAAATCAGAGACATACTGCAGGGGAGGAGGCGGGAGAGGGGTGAGAGGGAAGGAGGGAGGAGTACAGGAAGCTGAGGTGATAGTGCATGGGTGTCTTGGGGAAGGAAATTCTATGGGGACTCAATCTGAGGGGTGGGGGGAAGCAAATATTGTTTAAAAAATTTTTTTTAAAAAACCCATGGCCATAAATGCAATGATCCTTCTAATTCTTCTACCACTGTCATTCTACCTCTGGTGTTCTCCACTTCACCTTGCTCTTCATTCCCCTTGGCCTCCTGTCATTCATCTCTTTCTGCACTACAGCAATCCATAGTGTGATGCATGGTCATCCACACTGTAGTTGTACACGCACATCCCTCCACTGCTCTTCAGAGTCTGGAGGTTCCACCTCTAATTTTGTAGATACATAACCTGAGATAAAATCAACAAACTCTTTCTTCTAATTCTACTCTATGTTTCTGGTTTAAATGGTGTGTGTGTGAGAAAGAGAGAGACAGACAGAGAGAGAGAGAGAGAGAGAGAGAGAGAGAGAGAGAGAGAGAGAGAGACAGAGACAGAGACAGAGACAGAGAAAGAGACTTGAAGCACTGATAATTACCCCGAGTAAAAGGGGCAATTTTGGCTTCAGAGTCTAGAGACCTGAGCTCTGGTCTGAGTTCTAGTGAGACAGAAATCAGCTGCATGACCTCAGTCAAGTCACTCTCTCCAAGCTCCAGGCTCCCTAATCCACACTTGACTTGAAATCTATGTGCAGGTGAAGAAGAACCATGGAAGTGCCATTGAGCATTTGGTCTCTCAGGGCCAGAAGAAAATAAAGCTGAGAATCAACCACCTGGAGGGAGCTTGAGGACTTGAGGTGGAGGGGGAGAGGGAGCCAGGTACTGGGAATATTCCTGAAATTTTCCAACCTGTGTTTGGCTTCAGAGAGTAGGGAAGTTGCAAAGGAGGGAAAGGAGATGGAGAAATAGGAGACAAAGGGCAAAGGAGCATTCCAGAGCAGATTAGAAATCTTCACAACCTTTCAAGGATAGAGATCCTCTGACTGGGTGTATAAGCTCTTAGTCATTGGAATAAGACAACAGCTTATGAAAAAACAAACCTGATAGGACATTCCAAAATATTTGTAAATACTTTTATGTGAATTTGCCATCATTTCTGTTTTCAGATTTGATATTATAGTCAACAGAAACATTAAAATATAACGTGCTACTAAGATTTGTTTAGCGCAATAGTGCATGTAAAATTTCAAAATTAAATGACAAATTCCAATTGCACAGAAATACTCAACACAAGAACCTTAAATCTATGGCTGCCAGTTTCTGTGCCTATGGAATCACAGCTCCAAACACCCAGTGTGTGGATATTCTCTGTAGATGGTGAGATTTTTTTGCTCAAGCATTTAGGACTCATGATGTGTATGAGAAAAAGGGGAATTCTTCTTTCTTCCCTCTATAACATTACATTTTCTGGTTGTATTTATGGGCTTTCATAGTTATTACTCATAAGGTGTTTTGAGAACCACTAATAATAGGTTCTGTAGAGATGCAAATAAAAACTTCTATAATTTAAATCAGGCATGCTTTTGCTTACTCTGTGAGTTTGTTATTGCTATTAATCAGTATTGCATAATACTTCAATATTCAGGCTTTGTAACTATCTAATTGGTTGTTATTTTTATTAGCTTTTATATGGTGCATAAATAATGAAATTCTATCTACTTGTTTATACTTTTCTTACAGGAAACAAGACATCTTTGAGAATTCCCACAATGAGAATGAGTCTCACCTCCTGAAACTTACAGATGATTAACAAAATTTTCCTTTTTAGGTCCTAGTAGCCACTGTTTCGTTTAGCAGAAAAACAGCCTGTTAAGTTCTGATGGTAATTTGTGCCCTTTTGCTTGGGTTTAAATAAAAGAGGGTGGATATCATTTTATGATCAGTTTTACAAATCTTTGAAATGTGATTTGCTGCCACATCCCCAAACCTGACTCAAAGACACCCCGCTTCTCCTGAGGAGGACCATAGCCACACCCTCCCAGCATATGAGAAAAATGCTTCTGTGATTTGAACATATGCATATATTATCTACCAGGCAACATTTATTTTACAAGGGAAATAGAGCATTCTTGGGTAATTAACCTAATCACTGGTTTAAAAGGTGAATAAAACACTTAACATCACACAAATTTTAGGGGGAATGAATCTAAAGGGATTCCCAAAATCCATCTAGATTTTATTTTTTTTATTTATTTTTAAAGATTTATTTATTTATTTATTTAGTCAGAAGCACGGGAGGGTGAGAGAATTCACCAGAGCCAGAGTGGGGAGCAGAGCAGGCAGAAGGACCGAAGTACACTGCTGAGGGGAGCAGCGGGCGGCAGGAGAGGTCTGCACGCCATGTGGGACCCTCCTCCGGTGGCTGAGGGCAGCTTCGCAACCCAGCGTTCAACTGCTGCGCCACTGGGGAGGCCCCCATCTAGATTTTAGATTAATCCTATGTTAACCCAAGTAAAGGAACACAATTTAGGGGCTTTGAAAATTAGAGGAAAGCTTCATGTTGAGGCAAAATACCACTGTAGTTAGGAAAATGGGCTCTGAAGTCAGACAAGTATTTCAGTCACATCTCTGCTACTTAACAGCTGTAGGACCTTGTGTAAGTTGCCTGCTGGCTTCACCAGTTCTAGCATATAGAAAGTAAACTATTTGGATTCAAACAGGCTCAAAAATCCTTCTCCCTCACTTCCATATTCAATCATCAGATCTTGTCACTTCCATATTCAATCATCAGATCTTGTCACTTCCACAATATTTCTTGAATCCATTCCTTTTCCCTTTCCCACTTTTAACCAAGTATTTATTATCTCTGAGCCACATCGTAAAATCACTTCATCTGCCCTGTCTCAGTAGAGCAAAAAACACTCAGAGTTGTTAGCTCAAAAAGAAGAACAAAAAAGTCAAAGCCAGAGTGGGGGTGGGGAGTGCTAGTGTCCATAGACGCACTCTAGAAGATTCTGGAAAATAAACCAAACTTATTTGTATGGCCCAAGCACATTCTGGGACATTGCAGAGTCCAGGCTAATGGAGCTGAATAGGAGAGGCAGAATCCAAGCTAGCAACTGTGGTCCCACTGGAGAAAAAGCTGGGAAATATCACCAAGCCCACACGTTAGAGTAGGGGACATCCTTAACAACCACAACTTGCCATTAATGTGCCAGGAAATTCCTTTGAAAGCCACAAGAAGCACATTTCATAGTCTCAGAGGCATAGTCTTCTGGGTCTTGGCCTGACAAGTTTCATTTAATAGATTGTTATGAGGCCATGTCACTTTGTTCATTAAAACTGTGAATAGGGCCTCCCCGGTGGCGCAGTGCGTTGAGCGCTGCACTGTGAAGCTGTCCACAGCCTTTGCAGCACAGGTTCAATTCCCAGCCAGCCAGGGAGATTCCCACATGACGGGGCAGCACTCTCCTGTCATGCCCACTGCTCCCCTCAGCAGTGTCTTTGGTCTGTCTACTTGTTCTGCTCCCTGCTCTGTCTCTGGTGAATTCTTTCACCCTCCTGTGCCTCTGACCTGTACCCCAGTTCTTATATAAATAAATAAAATCTTTAAAAAAAAAGAGCTATTAAAAAAAAAACAAAACTGTGAATTGTTCCCCATCACCCAGAGTGCCAACCACTTAATTTAGTATCAAAGGTTAGTTGATCTAGTCGAAACTGACCACATTTCCTACTCCCCGGCTGAAACTAAATCTTATCCCCCACACATGTCAATGCCTTCACCCTCCTTTCTCCCACTAAATGTCCTGCCAGTCATTTTTAGACCCTCCAAACCCATATGGCAATCCCAATCCAAGAAGTAGCTTATTGGCTCTCCCCAGGTGAAAACAATCTTAACCTTTTGCATTCTCCCAAAACTGTGCACAATTTGGTTACAGTTGTTCAAATAGAGCTTATCACTCCTTCAAGGGCATATTGTATTTATAAATTGTGCAAATATTTGTTGAATGAATGAAAGAATGACCAATTAAACATTTAAGAGTAAAGCAAATTACAATGTTTCCTAATCATTACTTACCAATGTCCCAATTAAGGAGAAAGATACCATTCTTAGCTTGAATATTTATTACTAAAACTATACACTCTTAAACCTAAACCCATATTTGTTTTTTTAAAAATCAGACTCTTACAGGCTAATTCCTTTCAAATTTTTAGATGAATGTTGTCCATGAAATTATATTAGGGCAATTATTTGCAAATAAATTACTTTCTTGGTTTGTTTATTTTTGTTGGCCAGTCTGTAAACATGGGAAGTATATAAAGGTCTAAGTAAAACATAAAATGCCTGAAAAACCTGATGGATTTATATATTTTCTCATTCTAGAAGATATTTGTTAACCTTCAGTTGTGCACTAGTTCAGCTCCAATCTACTCTTTATCACTAATTTTCTTTCTTGAAACATACAGTTTCTAGTGAATTATTCCTCATTCCCCATGTCAATACAACTATAACAGATCCTAAAATCTGCAGATTCCTTCCTGTTTCAATCACTTTTAGCTCATAAACACAAAAAGATATCTAAAAAACCCAAACACCATATTTGCTACATTTCCTAATTATCTTTTTCGCAATTATTTTCCTAAGTCGTTGAGATTGTTATATCTCGTATCCACTCTTATGTACTTCACATTTTATCTTTGGTTTTTCCTATGACATTACCCGCCACCCCCACACCCCCTCCCAAAAAATCATGATTCTTAAGTGTTACATTTTTATTTTCATTATTACTATGTAGGAGAAAAATACTAAAGCTTTCAAAAATAGGTTTATTTTAACGCAGTGACTACTTCCTGGGAATTGAAGCAAATCCATGGGTTAACTAGGCTTTTGGCATAATTTCTTCGAAACAGTTGCAGATTTGGGTGAAAGTTAATTTGGGGAAATAAGAGAAGTTGCTCTAAAAATATGTTCTTAATATTTATGAAATAGGGTATAAGATCTACTATTTTCCCCCAGAGTTTCTCGTATTTTAAAAATGTAAAAGTCCTTATGAATTATAACAAGTATAGTCTCAGGTTTCTAAGCGTGATCACCACACATTAGGGTAGAGAAATAGCAATCCCAATTCACAATACAAAGTTGCAAAAATCTAATTACACAGAATAATACCCAAGTTCTGTCTTTCTTCTAGAAAATGCCTTAGAGAATGGAGATAAATTGGATTTTCCATAATTGAGTTGAATAGTGTATTTTAATTTTTTAAAGCACATTTATTATTGGAGCTTGAGAGACAGGTTTTTTAATAGACCCTACTGAGAAAAGTCAAAAATTCTTCATGGGTAGCCTTGATGCCAGCAGGTCTCTGTGTCCTACTGGTAAAAAAAAACAAACCTCCATTTTGAGTTCAAAATAACACATATGCATTAAATACATCAAAGTCATGCCAGGACCTTCCCACCGCTCAGAAGGCATCTGGATGAAAAGCATACATGCTTAGGAAGAAACAATAGGACATTATCTTCCTTTCAAAATTCACACTCACAGAGATCCAAAACTCTAAGCTCGGCGTGTGCTTGCCCTTGGACTGTCAGAGACCCTCCATTTTTCCCAGTCCCTACTCCAAAGACCCTGTACCTTCAAAACGGCCACCAAAATTAGTTCAAGAAGGGTGTGCAGTGAATCCACATTTATTGACAAGCAACCTGTGGAAGCAGGCTGCAGCTCCAGCGCAGGAGCAGAAGCAAAAACAGTGTATTCTATGAATGACTATAGCCACTAAGATAAAGTAAGGATTCCATCTGCACTAAGTTGGTAGAATAACACTTCACAGGTTAAAACAATTAAGAGAAATGGGAGGAGACAGTAAGGGAGGGGAAAACAGGAGCATTTTATAAATTGCAATTCACTCTACCTTATTCATTCGAGAAATGAAAAAAAAAAACCCACCGTGGGCAGCTGTTCCACAGAGCACCTTTCTGAAACTACGGGACCGAAAGCCCCCTCTTTTTTAGGGGAAGAAACCGAAAGTATTGTTAGAAAAATACAGATCCCCGCGCATTTATGCACACACATCTGTCTTTGGTCATAATTAGCTGAAGCTTAACTTTAAATTTTCTTCCATTCCATTTGGAAAAAGTGCTTGGAGATTTTCAGGATTATTTTGCCATTACCTCACAGCATGCCTCCCATTTTCTCATGACACATCTGATGAGAACAAATCTTGTTTATTTTGCCACTTCTCTATGCTGCCTAATGTTCCCCAAGGAAGCTGCAGACTGGCTGTCTTTTCCTTTACAAACCAATAGGGGAGAGTGTGAAAAAGAAAATTAAACCAATCTGACACAGCTACTTTGTCAGAAAGCTTCACGAGAACTATGAATTCAGGAGGAATCATAATATTTTTGCTCATTAGACAACCTTCATTGGCTTTGAAGAAAATACATCACTAAAATTAGAAGCTGAAATAATGAGCTTCTCTTTGCTCTTTGTGAGTCTAGTTATAGTTATTACATTTTTTCTGCATGTATTTTATCAGCAGCTCTCAAATTATTCCAAAATTCTGAAAATATTCTTTGCTCAGAGATCACAACCATGCAAACGAGCACAACATGCACATGAGGAGAAATCAGGCCAGACTTAAAATAAACCAGGCAACCAGCTTAGGAATTTTACTAAGTGATTCCCCTTCCAAAGAAAATAGGTTCTGGAGTCTCCTCCAGGGTTCTTTTATTTTCCCATGATGTCCTTTCTTTTTTCCTATTTTGTTCCACTTTTTGTCTCTCTGCACAGAAGTTTGTCTGCCATGTGTTTTTTTTTTTTCTATTTCTCCTGCCTTAAGAATCCATGCCATTGCTGTAAAAATAAAATGCATTTCTAGAGAACTGTGCTCAGGGCCCAGGTGTGTTTGTAATTTATTAG